TATTTTGCAGATTAGACGTACCCTGCAAGGCACACTTGGTCGGCTGCCAATTCGATCCCATGCCCCACGAAGCCTTCCATCGCCTCGAGGTCGGCAGAAGATTGGTACCAGAATTCTTTTCTTGAACAGCATCACTATCTCGATGCATTATAGGTGTACGGTACATGCCAATTATTCATTTAAGTTACCTTTGAGATATTTGATGGAATTGAATGCATGGAGCACCTCTAAGGGACTCATCAACGTTGAGCGCTTTATTCGTTATTCTTCATATGCTACACGCATGGCAGTATTATCCGTATTATCGCACCAATTTAATGTCTAGGAGTACTGAAAAATGCAGTTTATTTGGGATTTATCTAAAGACATTTACCATTACTCAAGTACTGGATAAATATGTAGTAAAGCATGGAATGTTTTCAAAGAAAGTTCCTCGTACCACGTTTACCCTCGGTACTGAAAAAGTTGCTCATCACTGTAAGGATAAAAGGGTCAACGGCCTGCCCAACACAGAAATCTTGCTTGATGTGGCCCTTGGGAAGCTATTCTTTGTCTTAACTCTTTTATTTACTGCCTTTTTCTTCTTTATGGCAGGGTATGTTGTGAAATATAACTCGTATGAAGTGCTGAGATACCTGCAAAACTCCGGACCACAGGTGTATGCAGTGGGGAACGAACACGCGCTGTTGTCCTTACCGGGGAGCATCGCACTGACCCGGATGGTGTAGTGGTGAAGTGGTCCTGTGGTCCGGAGTTTTGCAGGTATTTCAGCACTTCATACAAGCTATTCTTTGTGTTTAATATTTTGCAGGAACCCCTAATTTCTATATTATCGTATTGAATTGATGGGTATAAAAAGACAGAAATAAACTCACCATGGTAGAAATAAGCATGGCGTAGTACTTCCAAGTTCTGGTAACAATGTGCTTGCAGGTTGTGAAGTGGTAAGTATCGAAAATAGTCACACGTACCGAGCGATAGAACAAGGTCCCTTCTATAACGCGCCATATTCTCAACCCCTCTAGTTTCCTAGTTAGCAAAAAATAGTGCTCAGTTGTCGAAAAACTAGTAAGCCCGCAACAAGATCTAGTTAAGCACCATCTTAGGCTACACCGGCGCAAATTTTAGCTTCGCGCGTTATATGCTAAGCCGTACATTCGTATATCACTTGAAACCCATGGAACTTACGGAGGCGTTGAATATGGGCCGTAAAGCGGGCCAGTTGCGGCCAATGTAACTGAGTTCAGAAGCTCGTCATTCTTTCGTTACGATCCTGATACCAATATTCCGGCTGTCAAATACAGTAGAGGTTTCTTTTTCTTGTCCAAAGCAGGTCGATCCGGCACACCAAACACCAAGCATAACATCGTATGGTCGCAGATGCTTGAAGCTTCTATGACCAGATAGAACAGTTTGCAAGGGTAAAAATTAGGTTTCACTTAAAATGAAGTATTAGTATGGCACGATTTCCATCAAGAGATCTATAGAAACATATAATATTCATCGGATCATCGGCTCTGAGGAAGACGAAGACGTCGAAACGTTAGACGAAAATAAACACCATTATCAACCTCTTGTAAGCTCATCAAAGAAAGAATATAATATTCGTTTCTTTAACTCCATGGGAATCTCCTGTACTAATGTGGAGTCACCACAGTAGCGCAAACTGTGGAAACCCACAAGTGGCGTCAAGACCACGGGATTTGTGCCTTTCTCTCTTCCTTTTTGCTGTTTATGGCTTGATCCATGGTGTGTTGTATTCTGATTGACATACACAATGTTATACCTTTTTATTTTCAGCCTACTATAATTTTGCGGCATGGTACTAAGCGAGATACAACCACAACGTTGCTGAGATATTTGCAAAACTCTGGAACGCAGGTGTCTATGGTGGGGAACGAACGCGCTATTGTCCTTTCCGGGGAGTAACGCGTTCACCACCACACCATGCGGGTCCTTTGTTTCTCCTGTCTCTCAGCTATTTCTATCGATCTTTTGCCACAGCAATCACCCGCAATGTGGCGAAAGATCGATAGAAATAGCTGAGAGACAGGCGAAACAAAAGACCCGCATGGTGTGGTGGTGAACGCGTTACTCCCCGGAAAGGACAATAGCGCGTTCGTTCCCCACCATAGACACCTGCGTTCCAGAGTTTTGCAAATATCTCAGCAACGTTGTGTTTGGACATACACAATATTTGCCGCCATTTCCATGCAGAGCGACTACGGCAGTGATCAAGCCGCATGAGCTTCCAGAACGGACAAGTTGTCGCTTCACTTGATGTGATGTTGTGGAAAAGAGCAACGTGGGATGGAAGGCTTGCTGAGCCATGGGAGCATGATCGAACCAATGATCACATGTGTATTGCAGGGCACATCTAACCAATATATTACACGTATTTGTAGAAAACTGATGGGAAATCATAGAATGAATGAAAATCCTTCCCTTGAAATGTCTGTATGGAGAACTGTGTAAGGGAAAAGTCATAGCACAGTTGACAGGAAAAACTGCATTTATGCAAAAAAAAAACGGAAATAACATCTAAAAAACGGGTTTAATCAGTTCCTTCATCTTTAGTAGTTACTGTGCAAAACAACTTAAGTTGATCTGTTCTTGTTACTACGTTGTTCATTTCAAAATGAAGCGTGAAAACGTGAAAGTGTCCAGCTTTGACAAATCTGTTAAGGTTGCCTTGTGCATTTGACTTCATTATTTACCATAGGAATGATTGACGGCATATTTGTATACATTATGGCTTGTAAGGAGTCACCAGTGACGATGCTTAGTGAAGTCGAATGCATGGTGCGTTTCCCAGAGATGGGTTAATGCCGAGAGCTTTATCTTTTACCCTCTTATGAGTTGTGGGTATGAATTTTCCGACTGCAAATGATCGCTAGATAGATAGAATGTGGACCCGCGATCGTACCCGAGACTGTATGACTCGCAGGCGGCGACTAATCACTTGTAACGCGCCCCGTTAGCAAATAAGAGAAATTCTATGAACATGCCCTGAATGCAGAATAAAAAATTAGTAGTCCAGTGTTTAAACAGAGTGAGCGTGTGAAAAAGAGATACACACTTTGGTTTACACCATCACAGAAATACGCTACTGCGTTAATGTTCTTTTTATAGGCTAGCCGATGCAAGCAGTATGTTTTCAATTATAGCTGGTTTGTGGACGAAAAGCGTGTAGCGCAGTGCTTAGAGGCGCCAATACAAATGAGGTGGTTTGTTCCTTTCTGCGTTCAAGGCAAATCAAGCCCTTTATCCCTCCTGTGGAAGCCGATTGCTAACAGACTTCTCTGAGAGAGTAAAACCACTAGCTTGATATATCGGTATTTCACCAAAAGTCATTATGTAGGCCAGGTATGCATCCAGTCACATCTGCGATTTCTGATGAAGTCGATCGCAAGTCGCATGCTTCAGGGATTGATCAATCCTGGACGGTTTATCATTTATCTTCTTAAAACTTGTGGAGAATAATCGACAAAAGACTATGTGCTGTCACAGTACTGTGTGCTTTTCTAGTGCTGCAACAATGTTGGTTATTTGTGTTGTTCTTAAATGAAACAAGAAGTGATATGATCAGCGCTTCGGAGTTACCTAACTCATTCACGAAATTCTTACCAATTTTCGCTGAAAGTGCGTCAGGTGAAAGGTGGCCGTCGCAACCTTGTAGTACTCATACTATTATTGTTCAAGGCATCAAAACTAAAGAAAGCATAAATTGTTACTGAATGCTGTCCAACACGTGTGCAGGTAGTTTTTCCAAATGTTTCTCTAAACTGCTCTGTCTGTTCCAGTGTGCTGCTTGGCTGGAGCAGAAACTACTATCGCAACCCCAGGTGTTCAAGCGTGACTTTTAACTTTCCCTTCCCCTTAACGTTTATCATTCGACACATTATATAATTATGAAGTCTTTTCTGGAGTTCAGAAGAACGTTAGCTATTTCGAAGAATTTTAAATTTAAGGTGTAAATGCTGATGAAGCATTTTACTAACTTAATTCGTAATCGAAAGGAGAATTTCTGAACTTCAAATTAATAAACCTAACAGATAAATTAGTTTTTAATGCTTCTTTCGTGGTAAAGACTGACTATTTACTCTACACTCCCATGTGAACTCTGATAGTGGTAGTAAAACCTTATAACAGACATTAATGATGAGTAACGTGCTGTTTATATGGCAAAAAGCGGAAAAACCAGCGCCAAGGGAGTCGAAGACATCTGCTGTTCCTAGTGAGGAAAAGCAACCACCGTCAAACGAATCGCTGGACCATTCGGTTAGTAACATTTCTAAATTATATGTTTCTCCGTTCGTTTTTACTTAAATTATCACAGCGAGGAACGGTAGCTTACACTCAGCTTTTATGTTGCACAATTACAAACAATATTCTCAAACCTTCATACAGTAGTTAGATTCCTCTGTCTTAATGTCTTAAGGAATTCCTCGAAAAATAAATCAATGCTAGATTTTGGAAAGAAAACATTTAAGCCGTGGCAACCACTGAGAAGTAATTCCCAACTGAAAGCTAAGCGATTGCGAAAATCGTTCAAAAGATTAGCAGCTTTGTGTTATAAAGGATTCTCTTGAAAAAGAACAAACACCCAAGCGACGTAGCGCACTGGGGTTGTTTTTGAACGGGTGGCGATACTGAATATATCTAAGGTGACCGTTTGTCGGAACAGATGGAGTGCGCTCCGGTGAGGTGGAGAGGAAGAGAGTAATATCCAATCGAGAGCAACGAGACACAAAACATTTCTTGTTTGTTGATTACAGAGCTAAAATGCAGGAAATCCGCCACATTGTTGCTGCAGGAACATTGTGAATTCTTGAATCCTCCTCTTAACATTTCAACAAATGCTTCGTCACCGACATTTTTACAAGAATCATCTTTAATAACAGTGGTTGTCTAAGTAAAAGGTAGTATGAGCGCGTTTGGGTTCTGTTGAGATCTGACAAGCACTAGTTACAGAAGAGAAGCTCTTGCAGCGAGCCCTTATGGACTGTGAACAAACGGTCACAAGCGGAAACACAGCATTTCCTAACACTGGACCAACTGAAGATGGGCAGTAATACAATCTGCATTACCCTCGGTAACTTGCACGTGTTTTCATCATTCAGGGAACCATAGGAAAGTGGAACTTACTGAGTTAAATTCGCATATGCCTTGTTAGGATCGGATGGAGAAGGCGCCAAAATGTCTTGTTTATGTCAAATCCGAGCTGGCTCAACTGTAGTTCTCATTCATTTGATTGTGGGGTGTTTTACGCTAATCTACAACCATGAAGCAACTCATACACCTATAGACACCAATTGAGCGTATGCTTGAATGCTATTACATGTATGCGAAATATGTAATTTATAACAGTTGCTAGTGGAACTTAATTCTTAGAGTCAGTTCGCGGTACCAAATAATCACTAGCTCCAAGTAGAATGCTCGACTTCGTAGGAAGTTGCCACGCAAGACCTTTTCGACGTCGTAATAGAGCAAGAACTCAAGCTCTGGTAACTAAACAGTTTATATCCATCATAACACAAGAATAACGATCTGTCAACACCAAAACAATACAAGCGGCAATGTGGTAACAGAGTCAATAAGTGAGGGTAAGAGGTTCGAAAGGTGACACTTCAAAGTGAGATAGTAGCTATGCCACAGGCTGGTGGAGCCATTCGATTTTCACGTATCATGTAGAATACATCTGGTACGCCGTGATATCTGACTTGTAATAACAATACGATGGCGTTACACCCCATATGGACGCTTGTAACAACATTCCGATGAGATTAACGTAGTAATGAGTATATGTAAACTTGTGATAACATTAACGCACAATGGTCGCACTATGGGGTTGATACGTTAAAAGGGACATGGCAGTAGGATGAGGTTAACGTATAATAGTGATCTCATGCCATAAGGGTTAACAACTTGGGCCATCTACATGGTGCAAAGCTTAAGATAAACAGGATTACCACAAGGACCTAACAAGACGAAGAGGTCAGTGACCTACGAGGTCGTTGAAATAGCTTATGGAGAGAGCGTTTTATTCTGCTAACCTTTCGACGTCTTCGTCTACCGTCTTAGAGCCGATGATCCGAATCGATGTCCTAAGTCGCCCGCCTTCTCGATGTTGTGTCCTCGTCGTCGTACTAAGTCTAATTTGCGGAATCGATGCCGCTGAAACGATGCTCAACTGAAAAAGATTCAACTCGATAGGACAACGAAGACACCACATCGAGAACGAGTGTGGACAGCGTTCCTGATCACCGGCCCTAGGGAAGGCAAGGATGTCGAATCGTTTGACGAATAGAATATATATATATATAAATATATATATATATATATATAATGTAACAGCCTCGTTCAAGATGAGCGATTTAAGGCGAAATATATTATTTAGTTGGCGGAATAGTTGGCGTATAAGTTAAATTTGCGTAGCAGAGTAGGACAGCATAGCCGTTAAGTTCAACTGTTTCTTTGAGCGAGTACAAAAATGAGCTAAATTCATGCTTAAAATGAGGTGCTGAATAAATCTGTAGGGAGACCTCTTTTGATGAATAGGAATCTCGAACACTCTTTCTTTGATTCCTGAGATAAATAAGTGACAACACTTTCGATTTTTCCGAGAGTGTTCTGATGATGTTTGTGATTCGTTTCAGTTCTTTATTGTAAATGTTCGAACAAATAAATTTGCATTCGCATAAGAAACAGCTTCATTTAAGCACCTACCGTTTATTTGTTGTAAGTATTTAAGTTAGTTGGTGGATAGCAGCCCCACAGTAATACATGGGCGATAACTGTGTCTGTGTCAGGTTATTGGATTAGCCTGAGGTATGGCGCCAGGTCACAAGGCACTCCTCCTTGCGGTTCATTTTTGAATGTTTGGAATTGATCCAAAACGCTTCAAGAGTTTTACGCGCCGATGTTTTTGATTCGTGCGTGAGGATGGTGACTCCTACTTCAAAATCTTCTCCATTGTGTTCCTGCATCCTGTGCGCGCCTAGTGGAGTTTTCGGTTTCAATTTAGATTTACCGACTAGGTATTCTTATATGCGGACGCAGAGCGGTCTACCCATTTCGAAAACAAATTCGTTCCCGCACGCTTTACAAGAGATCAGATAGACTGTACCCGAACTCATGCAATCACCGTCTCTACCGTTAGAGTAAATTATTCAGTTTTCTGTTATACATAGACGGTCATATAGGCGGTTGCGAACTAGCTGGCGTCGTAGAGTGTCCAATGGTATTTCTATCACTCTTACGAAATTCTCAAGACCGCCCCTTATTAAGCAAGGTTTTATAGGTGCACTTATTTCGTTTGAAATAAAGGGCAAGAGGAACGGAGCCTTGTTTTCGCTAGAATTAGAATTAGAATTATGAGTCGTCAACCACATGCGACTATAATCAGCTGTTCTAAACTTCCTCATTGGAGGTCACGAAAAAGCGGCTCTGAAGAGGGCGATACTGCCGAAACGTCAGCTAGGGTTTTATTGTGTTTCTCTATGGAAGTAAATGTATGCTGTTTAACAACCTCGCGATTGCTGAACAAGAAAACGACATATTCATATTCCAATGCCGAGGTTAATAGAAAGTCGATACTGGGAACTATGTCACTTGTTTTTGGAAGGACACAGTATACCGTTCAGTACGGGTGCGTGTGCAATCAGTAAATGTGAGGAAAAAACAAAAGCAAGAAAAATGTCCAATTCGAAGAAAAACAAGAATTCGTTTAGTTTAAAGGTGACTGGCCAAAAAATTCGTGTTCTCTAAAGCTCTTGCGCTTTCTTCTACTTCAGTAAATTGTTCGAAAGATTATAAGAGTCCATATTGTCTTTGAAAGTCGTGAACCCACGTTTTTGCCTTAAAATAAATCTTATTTCAATCCACATCTTAACTTAAAAAGGGTGGAAAAAATCTTCCTTTCTTAATCTTTGTGAATGCAGGTAACGGGTTCAGAATAACGGTTGTACTTTTGACCACCAAGAAATACCGTCTTGGTAGCGCACTAAGTTCCACGAATTCAGAAATGGAACTGATAAACCATACCGTGTTACAAATGGCACTACTGTGTTGCCCTATTCGGGTACACCCGAGGTTATCACTGAAGCGGAGCTGGCCGACGAGCTGCGCGGCATTCTGGACAAACTGATCATCCTTGAAAGTTCGTCCCACACATCGTCTATAACGACGGTAGCTTGTGAATTGTATAATATTTCTTGCCGATATCGCTCGTGTTAACTTTAGAAGTGACCTATGGCCAATGATCTCTTTGGAGCCATTTGGGAATGCTTCCCTGGCAGCATTTGTTTCTTTTAGAGGTTCGCCTCTCCTTCTCTCTCCCTCTTTGTCTTTATTTGAAATAAATTAGTAACTAAGACAAGGTTTTGTTCTCGGCGCTTTTCACGAAATTTTACTCCTTCTCCCCAGAACGACAGAGAATTTATTAACAAATGAATGAAACCAGCTGTCTTTTGAGTTCATTTCAGGTATATTAACGGTAAAAATAATCTTGTTCTTCACTTAACGCGAGTGAAACTGATATTACACTAATCACCTCAAGAACATTCCAGATGCTTCTCTACCTGAAAACACAGAAATTGAAGAAATGGAGGACACTGTGCTGAATCTAACGATTGGTCATCTGGACACTCTGGATAGTTTAGAGACGTCGCTGAGCATCACACCTGTTTCTGTAGAAGTGACTAGGTTAGCAAGTTCTTTATGCTTGCTGTGTTCATTTGAAAAGGGGATAAGTTGTCCGACTCAGTTTCAGAAAAATACAACACATACTTAATATTGGGCAAGAATACGGCGTAGTACAGCTAAACAGCCATTGAAGAGCAGGAAATTAAGTAAATTTGGTTAGTATCCGCTCCAAAGGAGATAACTTTTGCAGGGCTACTGGGACAGGATTATCAACCAACGAATTGGTAATTTCGATCCTAAAACACTGATGACATTACAAAATTGAACTGATAAAACCTTCTAATGGCTTGGGCACAGAGTTTTTTCTTATCTGAGGAGGGTACTTCTAGCTGAAGTTAAAGAGTGAACGAGAGCTGCAGTCGAATAAGATCGTGCCGAGAGCGAATGGTGATGAATTGGGCTGGACAATCCTAGGAGAATTGTGCCAGATCGAAAACGCTGAGTGGGGAGCATGATTATAGAATTTTGAATTTGCCTTTAAAAATTTTTGGCATTTCGAATCTAAAATTATGTTTATCAATCATGACATTGGGAGATAAGGAGATATTTGCCGTAGCTTCCCTCCTACTGGAACGAGAGGTGTCGTGTGTTCAAGCGGTGCCTGAATATGTTTAACGTTTTGTTTTCTGCCTTCTATAATTTTCATGGCAGGTTACTAAGCGAAATACAACCACAACGTTGCTGAGATATTTGCAAAACTCTGGACCGCAGGTGTCTATGGTNGGGAACGAACGCGCTATTATCCTTTCCGGGGAGTAACGCGTTCACCACCACACCATGCGGGTCCTTTGTTTCGCACGTCTCTCAGCTATTTCTATCGATCTTTTTGCCACAGCAATCACCCGTCAGCGGGGTTGATCTGGGGAGCGCAAATCGGCATAGAACCCAGTTAAGCTATGGCTGTAGTTGAAATCACGCGTTACTCCCCGGAAAGGATAATAGCGCGTTCGTTCCCCACCATAGACACCTGCGGTCCAGAGTTTTGCAAATATCTCAGCAACGTTGTGGTGCCTGAATAGTTAAATGTGTACCAAGAGCAGCTTTGCCTTCACTAGATCCACTCGTTAATCCATGATTTTCTTTTACTGGGTTTGCTTTAAGGTCATTACTTACTACTTAGTCTGCCTTCATTCATTCAAATAAAGTCTGCCTTCATTCATTCAAATAAAGCGCTGTCAACAAAGGCCAGGATTATTTTGAAATGTGGCGCAGCGTGTGAACAGAACTATGAAAAATTGCCAAAGCGGTGATGGATCTGACTGATACTACCAATGATCATTACATGCAACATATGCTATTAAAGGAGCCATATTTACTTATACATTTAGGTGGCCAGTGTTCGGTGTTGGGTGGTGCAAAACCCAGAACTTCTTTCATTCATTTACCTGCTTTATAGTTTTTTCTTTTGTACGATTCGACGTCACGTGTTCTGCGGCGGATCTTTCTCTTATTCGAATTGTTTTCCAGTATCAACCATCCACTGTGATTTTTGAACTATTGCGTGTGGCTGTGCTGCATGAGGATTTTGCCATGAATGTTGTTGGATGGTAGTCGAATCGATTTTCCCTGAAATCTTAGGACAGCCAGGATAGGGCTTTCTACTGGACTGGAGTAAGTGGAGTGGTGCCGGACAAGTCTACTACGAATTCCATAGCCTCGAAGTGCAGGGGTATTCAGTGGGCCTGGAACGGGGTGGAACCGAAGCTTGTGTAGGTTGAGACACGCTCGTAGTGAACGGCACCACTACCACTACTCTACGCACCCATGATTCGAATTTATTACTGGAAAAATTGTCACAGCAAGAATGTCATAGACTTTGAGACTAGCCACCCAGACAAGTCTGGTATCATTTTGCGACTTCGGAGGGATGGAGGGCTTGGTGGGCTATGGGCGTGGGGACCGATTCCACGTGTGTGTGTTGCAGGGCGCCTCCGACCACTATGCCACACGCACCCTTAAGAGTAAGATAGCCTAGGAAAATTAGGGAATACCAGGGTCATAAAACATGCTTTATATCAGGTGAACAGATTAGTTCATAGAGTAAAAATGATGTTATTGGAGTTATGGAGACGGAAGGGTACTGACTTAACACCTTTGGGACGGTGTTTGGCCAATTTTCAGGTATTTGAACTACGGATAAGTTGGTTGTGGTTAAGTGCTGGGAGCAAATACGACACGTTATCACTCCATGTAAGTCCTTGTCGCACAAATCCTATTTTTTAACACATAGCGCTCAACATGCATTAAACGCAAAGTATTCGGCCCAAAAATAGTCGGTTTCAACTCTAAACCGGACCATTTTGCTTTATGTTCAACTTTGTTGAATTAAATAAAAAACTTTGAGATCTGAGAATCTTTTCTTGCAAAATAGAAGCTTCCATGTCGTACCAGAATTAAATCCTGGTTCTCTGTACCCCACGGAATCTGGTTTTCCACTTTTTCGCTCACCTTTCTCTCTGCTCTAGAGCTCTAAGGCCATCCATGATATGTACGCTACTTTTCGCTATCCCTTCTTATTGTACGTCATAAAACACATAGCTGTAAGCATTTGGAAGTGTTTTGCAACTTATCATCAATTTGTTCAGTATTATTTCGGTATTCTATACCAACCTATTCCATATGCTTAATAAAATTAAAATTCGTCATAGTGAACGGAATTGAAATAACATTCACAATTAGTCAATTTACAGGATAATGAACTCGTTCGAAAAATCCTTCTTCTATATTTCTATGTGCAGAATGGGGTTTCACAGAGGACACTGGCACAGTGTCTATTTTGGTAGGCTATCGAATGATCACAAGAAATGCAGCAAAAAATATCTACGCGGCAAAATAAACAACCGAAGAGAAAATGCAGCATATACGGCTCACGTCGGCTTGTTTGGTCAGAAGCGTGTTCATCATAACTGATGTGCTCTGGCACCGATGGGCTAAGGATACGAGTAGGAAACGAAAGAAACTTAAGAAGCGAATCTCCTTCTGTGGGATGCAACAGTGCTTGTATCCCAATGCCCTTAATATATCGTTGGTGTTTATAGATGCCTCTCTAAAGTCAGAAATTTGAAAACTCTCAACGTTGTCTTCAATTTTTTGGAAGTTTTAATTCCAAACAGCAATGATGTCTTCACGCCACCTCCAAACAGATCCTCTCCAGCGTTCTTTTTACACGTGATCAAATCATAACCCCGTTCACTTAAGAATTTTATTTGTCACTAACTAAGCATAGCGAAGCACCCAAAACAACACTTTCCAATCCTCATGAACCTGTGTTTCTTTTCCTTCCACCATTAACTCGCAAGACAATGCGATACGTACTAAAATGTAGGTATCTACTCCGGTAGGATTATTTGGTAAGGTGTTTTGTTATTTCGTAATTCCAATTGTTCCTTCGTCATGCCTACAGTGCTGTAGTGAATGTAGCTGAGGATTTATAAAGGATAAAGGATAAAGCTCTCGGCGTTGATCAATCCGTGAGGAATGCGCCATGCATTCGACTTCATTAAGCATCGTTTGGAGGTGATTGAAAGCAAATCTAGCCTTTACAATGACTCATGGTGGCCTACCGATGTGTCGAGCCAGCGCTGCTATCCACCCAGCAGATAACTCTGGTACCAATTCGCCGACCCCAGAGGGATGGAGGGATTGTTGGGCCAGGAGCACAAGAATCGATCCTATTTGTACTGCAGGGCGCCTCCGACCACTGTGACACACGCGCTCTAGATTTATAGGAATCTAAATATAGAAATAAGATCTGACTTTCGGCGGACCATATTGGCTGACAGAACTGTTTTTCTACACGTCTTGTGACCGATAATTGGCTTATCCAACACTGATATTGTATAAGCTTTGGTCAGAAGAAGTTTCATTCAGTATTCAGAAAGACGTGGGAATTTTAAAAGCTGATTCAGGAATAGTGCATAATTTTGTATGTGACTGAGCTGGCATGAGATTGGTACAAAACTTTAGTTTGGCTAAAATCTTGGCGCCTTTGCCTTCTTCGGAGCCACGTCGATCCGAGTCAATGGCCCACAGCTGGTCGTGGTGGCGATTTGGTTGTTCGATGTCGCACCAATTCGAATCCCTCGGAAATGACACCGCTCGAATGGCGAACGTCATTCGGCGGTGCCCAGGTCAGATATTGGATGGCGGCAATTCATGTGCGACAACGATCAGCCGTGGACCATCCACTCGAATCAACGTGGCTCAGAGGAAGGCGGAGGTGCCGAGACGTTCCCGAATAAAAGCCTAATATCAACCTCATGTTAGCTCATTTATATAGAAAATTACCTGGAAATATAACTTCAATGATGCTGAGATATTTGCAAAACTGCGGACCGCAGGTGTATGCAGTGGGGAACGAACGTGCTATTGTCCTTACCGGGGAGTAGCGCACTACACCACCACACCATGCGGATCCTTCGTTTTGCCTGTCTCTCAGCTAGTTCTATCGATCTTTTGCCATCAGCAATCACCCGTCAACGGAATTGATCTGAGGGGCCCAAATCGGCAACAAACCCAGTTAAGCTGAGGCCGTAGTTATAATCACAATTTAACGTATTATTTACTGCCTATTCTTTACCCATAATTTGCCACGTTATCGAAAAGAGTTATCCGCACTCTACAGTGAATACTGGTAGTGGCTCATCCTAGTGAACTTTGAAATAACAAGAGAGTGCAAAAGAAACTTCCACGAAGCCTTATGTAGAGCTTCGAACACTTTTTGACGAGTATCGGTCCAAAATCAGGTTTTCTTTCCCGGTAACTACGAGTTTACGTTCAAAAAACGAAGCATTTTTTGCAACCAAGTTTTGCCTCGAAAGAGCTCAATGTACCTTGGTTTTTCTTCCTCTAATGTCACTGCGTTCCATATAGGTAGCGGACGGAATAATACCGTTCTCCCGCTGCCTGCCTTCACGGTCCACCTTCCATGCTCGCCATTTTCCACGCTGCCCCATAAACATTGTGTTATCCACGAAAACTATTTCGCCCTAGAAGAATCGTACTAATATTTGCAAGACAATCTTAACCCTTTTATTTACTGCCTTCTTTTAACGGCATATATTTCGCTGGGTTAAGATTGTGATTATAACTAAGCCCCAGCTTAACTGGGTTCAATGCCAATTTGGGCTCCCAGATCAATCCCGTTGATGGATGATTGCTGATGGCAAAAAGATCGATAGAACTAGCTGAGAGACAGGCAAATCGAAGGACCCGGATGGTGTGGTGGTGAAGTGCGCTACTCCCCGGTAAGGACAACAGCGCGTGTTCGTTCCTCACCGCATACACCTGCGGTCCGGAGTTTTGCAAGTATTTCAGCATCATTGAAGTTATATTTCACAATGTATACCCTGCCGTTAAAAAGAATAGGCAGTAAATAATACGTTAAATTACCTGGAAAGCATTTTTTGAACGGGCTCACTGATTGGCAATTTGACCGGTAATTGGTTGTTATTTCATTTCTAAGCACTACAGTTGATTATAATAATCTCAAAGAACAGATAGTTATAAAAATGCAGAACTGAACTCCACATTAGCTGCTGTCTGCATGCTGGCGGCTAAATGTGATTAAGCCTAGTTGCATACAGGATACGCCATCATACATACCATTTACATCCCTAGAGCGAAAGAACGAAGTCTCCTTCGTAATTCTTTCATGTTCTCAATTGCTGAAGTCCTCTAGTAATCGAAGAATTGTCGTTATTGCTAAACTAGCAAGCCTACGACGGCTGAAAATTAGGCGTCCTTTCCTGCCCAGCTCATGAAATTGGGCAGCGACAACAATGAGTGAACGAAAAAGGTGGAAAACCAGGTAGCCAAAATTTCAATGTTATCCTCAAATTCACGAATCCGTGATGAGATAACATATTGAATCCAAACGCAAGTTAGACGAAATGTGAGATGTGTCGTGGACTGCTAATTGATCGAATCACAACAATACATGCGGCCTTAACTGGCTGCCCCAACTCGGGTGACAAGGTGGTGTGTCGCAGCTCGCGACATCGCTTTCTGTGAACTTGAGTTTGATGTTCGTTTAGCAACTCGGATTTAGGCGATTTCTCCATCAGCGGATGTCTACGCGGTGAGAGTGAAAAATGGTAGATTCATCTCTACTTCCTAAAGGCATTTGAGGTAAGTACCAGAAGTATCAAGTTATTATAATACAAACAGCAGCTTTACTTTTGATGATTGCTAGTTGTATAAAGTAGTACAAAGTACAACAACATCGTAGCGGTTTCTGCTTTCGCAATGAGAGACGGATTTTTAAATATACTTCGTAGAAAAAACATCCCTCCCAGCGATTCACCGCCTCATCATGGCTGGGAGGTGTTCCTGGGTGTCGGGTTGCGATGTACAGTGGTGGGATTCGTTCCTTCGTCAAGGTCTCTCAACCTGAGAAGTCCGGCGTGTCCATCAGAAAGCCCAGCTAGAAGTAAACCAGTGCCAGGATCCACCTCCGTCCTGGTATCAAACTAGTCGCTTAGTGGCAAATCTTCCTCTGATCCACAAGGGCGGCAACTGCCTGTGGTGGTGACGACCGAGGCAGATTTTGGCCAGGCTGACCTCGGAACGCCAGGGAACCACAACGGATAGACCAGCTAAACTCTAAAAAACGCTAATTATGCTGAGGTCCGCAAAACCAGTGAAGACGGCCATCCAAGTATCCAAGTAAAGAAACCTTTAGATGCAAGAAAAAATTCTTTGTTCTATCTTTTTGCGATGTATTTTTACGTTTAGTGCACAAGATTTTTGCTCAACAACTGAAACAATCTGGAAAACCTCATGGTTGAAGAAGACTGCCGTGAGAAAACTGTGATGGAGTGCTCAGAGCGCGGCGATGAACCAGTGGCAATGTTTGTATAGGAAAGCAATTCCAACCAGTCACCTACAACTACGCTTTGGTTTATATTGCATGCCATATGTATTGACGAATTTTCAGAACAGACTTGGATCTTGGTGAGAAAAGCACCGTTATTAAAAGCAGGACAGTGCTTCGTATCCAAGCAGATGCCGTAGTGACCAAAGGCGCCGAGGTCATTGGTAGCCTTACCACTGGCGGGATCGGTTCATTGCATTCCGTTTGCTCATGGATCCCTCGGTTCTGAAAAGCGGGAAGAGAGTGTGAATCGGAAAAATACGTGAATATTGTTTTCTCATTATACATTTTATCTGTACTGACAACAAGATCTCATGAAGGTTTAACTGAAACGATCGGAAAACGAAGACCCACCTTCTCTTGGCGCAAATCTACAATAGTTGAGGAAATTTCAACTCAGTTTGTTGAATTTCCAGTCGTCTTTGATTTGCAGAAATAAAACCTCAAAGTCTACTGACCCAGGAACTACAAGGAGTCACCACCGATATTCTTAAAAGTGTTACTGACTTCTTGTCGGATCACGGAATGTCGCTGACGTCTGAGGAGCTCGGCAACGTACGTTATTCAAGCGTTCGAATAAAATTGAGTGCTAGACTCCGTTTGTGATTTCTGCGACGCCTGTACAATTGATACGTATCGACTGATGAGTGGACGTGGTTGTGTCGCATTATTAATCGATGCGTATTTGATGTAAAACGCTTCGTCTCCTTAGTAGATGCGTAGCACTTCCTTTATGAACAGAGTGTGTTTCAGATTCTTTTTCTCGTTGTTGAGACCTTCATTTGAAAATAAGAACCTGTACATCAACTATTTAAGGTGGAAGAGGTGGTACTTATCGTAGTCCATTCTCTCACAGAATCCGTTGAAACAACAATGACGAATCCGCTGTGGAGTGACATGAACAAGAATTTGAACAACGAGTTCGAGGCCTTTCACTCCATCTTTAACGCGCTTCTTGAAGACGCTAATAATTGTCGGTAACATTGCTTTTTATGCCATTAACATGAAACGTCATCAACAGTGTTTCATAGATGTGTTAACTGTGAGACGGGCGAAACGACGGACCCGCATGGTGTGGTGGTGAACGTGTTAGCCTCCGGAAAGGGTGACAGAGCGTTCGTTCTCCACCTTAGATACCTGCAGTCCGGAGTTTTCCAAATATCTCAGCTCACTGTGGTTGTATTTTGCATCATACTCTGTCGCGAAAACAATTATGGTGGTAGGCAGCAAATAAAAACGCGGCATTGGCATCTGGCCTAGGGTCCAAGTTTTTCGAATGTCTCAGCATCGTAGTGGTTGTAATTCACATCATACCCTGCCGTAAAAAATTGTAGTAGGCAGGAAATAGAAGATTAGCATTGTGATTTCGACTGCAGTTTTAGCTTAACTGAGTCCAATGCCAATTTGTGGTTCCCAGATCATTTTGATGGGTGATTGCTGATAGCAGCGTTAGGTAAAAAACTAGCTGAAAGAAGCGCAAAGCAAGGGCCTCTGTGGCACAGTGTATAATGCGCGAGACCCTGGAAAGGGAAATCGAGGTTTAATCTGGTCTGAAGTGCAAGTTTTGCGAGTACCTCAACATCGTTGTGATTGTAATTCTAGCGCTTATTTCATAAAAATAAAACAATGTTGAGATTTCACAGAAATTCGTGCAGGGAGTGCTTAACTGGGTTCCTCTATCGAACAGCTTCTACGGCATAAAAAGAACAGCTGTTCTTCACCTAAGTAATACTCGCGCATGAACATCTTTTAAGTGAGAAAGTTGAAAAATACTCAAAATAAGGAGGCGCGCAGCGCAGTAATTACCGGTGCCCTGCAATGCACCCGTGGTCGTTGGGTTCGATCTCACACTTGGGTTCACCAACTCTTCCAACCATCGATGGCCGGCAAGTTAGTAGCTGTTTTTTTTTATGAGAGACGTTGTCACACAGTGAATGATCTTTTAACTAGTGCGCCTCAACAATTCCGCAGGTGAGGGTAGCTACGAGAGCGAATTTTCTCTACTTCATGGAATCACTTAGAAATATAACGAATTAAGACAAAATGCGTAACAACCAGGTAGTTCGCCGTCAATTTAATACGCTCGCAACGAATGACATCTATGGGTGTCATAATGGTTTTGCGGAAGTGGCCTACAAGACGTCGATAGGCCTCATTTCCTTTTCGGTGGTTTATTTTAACAAATAGAACTGTTTTCCTATATTTCCTGTTATCAATTGATAGCTTGTAGGACGTAGATACTATCATGGGTGTTCTTCGGAAAAATCTGTGCTGAACTTAGAAACATAAAAATATTTCCCAGGATCGACTTTCTCTTAACCTCGGCATTGGAATGTGAATGTGTCGTTTTCTTGTTCAGCAATCGCGAGGTTTTTAAACAGCATACATTTACTTCCATAAAAA